AACCACAAGGTGCGCTAGTCTGTAACAAAAATGGTGAAAAGCACAGTGTGATTTCGTACGTATTTTAGGGGGTAATTAATTATCGTTTAGCAGCTTCAGTGGGCGTGCGGGAAAACTAAGCTTCTTAAGCTGAAAGCAATTTAGCGAGACACCCCTCGAAGATAGATCGATCCTGTTAGTTGAGTGATAGAGTGGAGGCCCCTGTTTTTTATCCCTAAGTTCCTGACATTAAAAGGTCTAAAAGAGACCAATAAGAATTCGTTTACTTTTGATCAACTAACTTTCCGTTCGTTTTTCAGTACATGTGATTCGTATTAAGTGAGGCTACGTGTACGCGGTAATAAGCTTGTTTACGATATCGATATTTGTTTTTAAAACGTGGTACTTTCTTTGTTACTTTTCTTATTTGTTCGTCCTTTCTTCGGCTACTGCGCACATGGTGCGATGATTCTACTAGTGTTTTATGTAAATTGTTGCTGGAATTTCAAAATTATTTCGGTTTCAAATGTAACTTTTACTTTATGAATATAAAAGTCGCTGGGTTTTCTGCAAAGTTTCTTTCCTCCTTTATTTATTCCATTTCTATAAATACAACATGCAAAAAATTTACAACAATTCTTTTTGAAATAAAAAAAGACAGAGTGAAATGTTGACCATGCTCAAACAAATAATATTTTGTTCAATTGTTGACCACGCGACACAGCAAATTAAATAAAGTAACAAATGACACAGATTTAACTTGCAGTTCGCTAGTGACACCTTAAACATGATAATAGATACGTAGCAAGATGAGGCCAGTATTTGCCATATGGTGATAGTTTATCAATCAAATATTTACATTTTCCAAATTCCTATTAGAAGCTTTGAATTGATGAAGGTAAGAAGAAGACAAAAATCACCTTATAATAGCAGTTACGCTTCCCAAATTCCTTTACATCAACAAAATCAAAATTGTGCTAAAATATTATTAAAATATTGAAATGTTAAAAATGATTTTGAAGAATGTGTTCTAGCTATTGTTTTACTTATTTGATGTTTCCAATGTATGTTTGCACTTTCCTTCCAACAGAAAAAGAAAGAAAACTTACCAGAAACAGTACAATTACTAATCTGCGGCAGGCGCTGCTTGGACCAGCTACAAAGCCAACAAAAGGCATTTCTTGCGTAATAATGCCACTCCCACCTCTGAACATGAGTGACGGAAATTGGTCTTGTCCAACAAAGTTCCTTGAGTTCTGGGTGGCTGTCTGTACGACACTGCATTGTAGTGATGCTTACGCCCGTTACTGAAGCAATTGGCGTGAGACCAGATGGTATACACGGTCTGCCGGGAATGTCGACTGGAGGGCGAAAGAACAAGCTACAACCATCGGTTGATCTTGCCTGTTCCACAATATCGTCTCCATCGATAATGTTGAAAACAATGTCAACACCAAAAGATAATGACCTGTGACAAGTGAAGTAAAAACCCCATTGTCGGACATCAGATATACCGTGGCACATTGCACAGTGCTCGTTACGAAATGTCAAGTTTGTTGCCAAGTCAGACACAGGAACAAAGCGGTCAGCTTCATTGGTATTCCGAGGACCTTCACATTTAGTACGAACGGTATCATGGGGCCATTCGTCTGGGCAGATTGTCACCATCCAGAAATGTTGGGGATTAAGTCCAAGAAAATGCGAGGTGGACTGCTTGATACATCCAATGTATTTTGAGTTTAAGTGCATTCCCATCGATGAAGAACGCTTCTTACAGTAATTAGTGGCGCAACAGTCTTGGAACAAACCGCAAAAGTTGTCACAGAAGCACCCACCTGTCGTAACTACGTTTGTCCCCAAGCAAAATGTTCTCGGTAAGTTAAGAGGAAGTGAAGTGCCATCCCGAAGTGTCACTGTGGACGCACCAGGCAGTAGTGTGCTCGTAGTGAAATTTGAGGACATGGGGTCGTCTCGTTCCCTTCTCGCGTCTAACGGAAAAGCTGCTGTTGTTGCGTTCTGAGATGAATTCCTTTCATCAGTGGAGACCTCCTCCAGTAAACGTGGGGCCTCTGTCACCGGTTCTTCCACATCGCCATTTTCTACACCAGAAGAGGATCCAGTAAAATTGGTTGCTGTTGAAGAAGTCTGATATTGTAGCGGCGGATTCTTTGGGACATCAACCTGGGAGGAAACTTCCGCCTCCGTTGAATTACTGCTATCTACACCAGAGCTAAGTGAGGTGAGGTGGGGGAAGGTTTGGGTGCTCGTTACGCTGAACCATGTCTGTGGGCTGACTGTCTCCATGCTTAAGACTCCTTGAAGGAATAGATATAGCAATAAAAAATGCCGCTGCTTGTTGCTCCGCATATGAGAACCCATTGCAAAAACTGCCAGCTGCCACCTAGCTGTTTCAAAGCCGACTTCAGCAAGCTTTGCTTCTGCTTTCATAGAAGTCGCCCGACATACTATTAAATAGTCTCGCCGAGCGCTTAGAAATCTATAGAAAAATTGCATAATCAGAAGTATTGATAACGTTTCTCCAACTAGAAGACAAAAATAAGATACGATAAAGTAAGATACATTACATGTTATTCTCGTAGTAATATCAATTTCCACAAATCAAATTGTCTTTTCCCCCACGCTCTCTTAACGAAATGACAGGGGAAGTGAAAATTAGTAGGTTATAATCCAATGCAGTGGCGGACTAAGTAGAGATCAGGGGGTCAGGGAGGCGGTGCCCCCCCCCCCTCCCTTTTTCGGTTTCTGAAGAAAACACTTATTTTCCCCTCTTGAAATAAGAATTTTGACTGGCTGTGTCATACTTAAAACCAAATGGCACTGTTCTCCCTATCAAACACCACAACTTTTTGGGGCCCTTCAGCAGGACCCGAACACCACCCCAAGGGTAGCGAGGATCAGTTTGCATTCGAGATTGGTCAGCCCTATAGAAAAGGACCCCCCTTTTCAGAAAATCCTGGATCTGCCCCTTTCATACCACCTGTAAATTGCGTCCAGCAGACAAAACGGTATATTCTCTGCAGAATTATTTGCCATATATGTTTATTTTTTTTCTCAAAATGTGCATCATCGCAATGCCTTGACTGGAAAGCGCATGTCAGTCCGACACAACAACGACCTGGACCCGGAATCGGGAATTTTCAAAAACGAATGATGACTCTCGTGGGTCCAGACAAATTACATTTTGCATTTAAAAACGGTATACGTTTATAACCGTAGAGCTCACTGGTACAACCCCGCTTAGTGATTGTTTTGAAGACAAAACGACACCTCTTCCTGGCAACAGACAAAAGGGTTCAACGTACAAATATAGACCATTATTACCCTTAAGTAAATGACGAAGTGTGACCATGGACCCGGTCAGTCGGCTTTCTAAAAACCAATCAGAAGACGTGTTTCTTTAGATCAAGATACTATATGATAAGACTATTGTCATTTCTGTTCGTTTTCCTAACATTTAACTTGCATAAAGTGGGGCTACGTGTAACAAGCTTGTTAACGAAATCGATACTTGTTTAAAAACACGCCAATTTCTTTGTTACTTTTCTTAATTGTCCATCCGTAGGAGTTAACCAGCATGCTTCCAAATAGTCTCGCCGGGAGCTTAGAAGTTTATGGAAAAATTGCATAATCAAAAGTATTGATGACGTTTCTCTTACCAGAAGACAATAATAAGACAGATGAAAGCAATACACATTACAGGTTTTTCTCGTAGTAATGTCAATTTCCACAAATCAAATTGTTTTAACGGGATAATAACTCTTTGTATGAGTTCTATTTTTTTGAAATAAAAACATTGTAAGCAACTCATAGAAATTTAATTTATTCTGTTTTACCACGAAAACGGCAGTTATAGATATTATTCTGATATCTGAGCTTGTCATCAGACCGCGTGACCTCCATACATGGCTATAATCTGTAATAATCTCTTAAGAGAATATAACATAAAACCAAACTTTTTAGAAAAAAAACAGAGACTAACTTTGAATGTAGAAATGGATTCGTTTACCATTGGTAAGTATGGGAAAACAGTTGTTTACTTCGGGAAAATTCATTTTTTGGCCAAAATGGACAGTTATTATCCCTTTAAACGTCAGCCAAAACTGTCGGTGAACAAAGCATGGGATCGGAAACAGTAGCTGTCTTATTGCTAACAAAGCAGATTGTTTGGACGACATTTTGGATTGTTGTATGTAATACTTGTTGGTCATCGATATCCGGAACCTTAATGATCTTTTCCCCTCTCTTATCGGAATGACAAGGGAAGTGAAAATAATTAGGTGTATTAAAATGTCACTTGAACGGCATACAAATGTTATTTTTAGATATTTTAAAACTTTAAAAGAAACTGCATTATTTTCAAAGAAAGTTTGGTTTAGATTTATTTTGATTTTGACCAGTTTTTGTGAGTGTCCATTATTTCTAAATAATGAAATAAAACTAGATTTACATCTTAAACATCATAGGATGACCTCTTACTTCTCGATAAAATAAAAGGAACCTGTCTTATTTTCAGAGTTAATAATTTGTATTTTATGAATTTCCTTTCCTTAACAAATTTATTTATAAACAATTCAATCTTCGTCATGTTCTGTAGTGTCGTATTCTCCACGGCAAGTCCTGGTATCACGTTATAATGGTTTGTCTTTGTCATGCTTTTCATCTGATCTTGCACGAGAGGAATGAGATTGATTTTCATTCTTGGGGAATAGTTTAATAGATAGACAGTACCAAATATAAGACATGACTTAAATCGAATATTCTTTTATTATATAAATTACTGTCAAATCTAATGCAGTGGCGGGTGTAGGAGGGGTCAGGGGGGTCAGGACTGGGGGGTCCTGCCCCCTCCTTTCGGTTTCTGAAAAAAATCACACTTATCTTCCTCTCTTGAAATAAGAATTTTGACAAACTGTTTCACAGATTAGAAATTCACACAGGCTCCCAGCGTGTAGCTTGTTATAATGANACAAATAAATGTCCAGACAATGCCTTTAAAAGAACTAGGTGAGATGGAAGGAATTGTCCTTGACACTATGCAGTATATTATATGATACACAGTCAAGGCACAGGTGAATAGGGACAAAGATTGCGTCCTTGGGGAAAAGGGGGTTTAAGAGTTTCAGTGACATAGTCAATGGTCAGTTAAATGGTTACTAGTACTGGTATTTATTGACCATGGGCCTATCAACACTAATGGCAGTATACATGTACAACCAAAAAGTGAACTCTCTCTCTCTCTCTCTCTCTCTCTCTCTCTCTCACACAGGGCCGAAAAAGGTTTTATTTTTATACCAAATCCCCTAAGTTACAGCAGATCTTACGATGTGCCTAACTTAGGGCTTTTAGGACAACTGCTGTTCAAAATACATAGTGGCAATATGTGTGCATGCACGCAAACACGTATAAAGTAGCATGCATGCGAGCATATGTACGCATCAATGTGCATGCACTTAGTACATGCTTAGTACATGCATCCAACAACAAACCTACCTCATCTAGATGGGACTGAGCATTTTGTATCTGCTTGGTCAAAGAAGCAACTGCCCGTTTGTGGTGCTGGACTCCGCCCACTCTTTCTTGTTTCTCCAGCTGACCAACTTCTGCTTGCTACAATTAAAGAATTTAGTAAATTTATAAATGCACTAAAACTGAAATGATTGCACTTGTCTTCTAAAATGAATGTTTATAAATTGTGCAGCATAAAACAAATTACACTCAATTGCAAATCTCCACAAATATCTATAAGTAAAGATGAACAGTGTAAAAACACTTTATGTACAGTAATGACTTGGTCTTTTCAATGGGGAAAATTGTGAATTTTATAGATATTTTAATTTTCAAGTCATAAATTCTTGAAATTAAACCTTCTCTATTGAGTGGTAGCAGCAAAACTGAAAAGCAAGACGTCTTTTACTTCTATATTCTATACAGTAAAAGCTACAAAGCAATATCTTTGTAATGATTTCAAAATAATGTATCTGAAAAATTGATAATTTTTCCCCATTAAAAAAATTAAGAGTCATTACATTTTGGTCAAATTACCTTCTCAGCATATTCAGAAGCCATTTGTTGTATTTCCTCTGCCTGAAGCCCTACAATAGAGCCTACCATACCGGCTGTGAGCCTCCCCTTTAAGAAAAAAAATTAATTATTATGAATACCATTTACAGTACTGTGAAATAATCAGCATATCTTCATGAACGAATGTAACTTGCATGAAACTTGTTAAGTTAAACAACTCTGTTCAACTCTTTTATAAGTTACACATTCAATTGATCATACTTTTTATTAGCTTATTTATTCTCTTAACTTATTCTACATAACATTTAAATCATTTCTAATGTGACTGTGCCTCAGGATATGTTCTAATACTACAGACAGTGCTTGTTCCTCAAGTAATTACACATAAGGTGTATTTCAAATAATATTGACTCTGAAAGAAAGTGTTACACCATTATTTAACTACGTTTCTGCCAATGCATCATCACTTTGATGAAAACAATTTTTGCAAAAATATGGATACTTTGCATTCACATAGATACCAAATTTGCCTATTTAAGTATTTTTGCATTAATTTTTATTCCCAAATTCACATTGTATATATTCATCCATCCAATTATGTATCAATTCTTTTTATTTTTTCATTATTTTTTTAAATTGAACATCATTTTAAAAATGACAAATCTAGTCCCATTTTTACAAAAAAATTCTGTAAAAAATTTGCACTGTTTCAAGTGCCCTGTCTAGATTCCTTGATACAAAAACTAAGTCAATGATCGGCCAGATTTTTCCTGCCAAGACCAGCTTTAAAGCATCCCAGCACGAAAACCAGTTTGACCCTCCTTTTGACCCTGTCTGGAGATGGTTAAGCCAAATTCTGGTAAACAACTTCACAGATACAGCTTCAGGGCCACAAAGCAAAAGTAATGAATTTACAATGCCATAAGGAGGCAAAAACAAGTTCTGCATTCAAATCATGCAAGAGAGTGACAAACCCGTATTCTTTCAAGCAAAACTCTTATTTGCTGAATACTCTTTATCATAAAAATTACCTTTTTTTTTCAAATTAAGTTCATGCTTTAAGATAAATTAATACCAAGGTTAAGGTTTCTCAGAGATTCTGCCCTTAAATTCCACTTTATTCCAGCATTAAGGAGTTAACTTGGTGAAAAATATACTTGAGGATATAATTTTAATGCAGTAATAATGGACTACTAAAATACTCCCTACACTACAGAAATTTTAAAAATATGCTTTTATGTACATATATATAGTTCCCCAAACAAGGACGAAAATCTTTCAGTTCTAGAAAGCATTATCCCCTCAATAGAAGGAGGCCATTTTTGATTGCATTAGTTGTAGCTGAAATATTGGGTACAACAGGTATTCACTAAATGTGTTAGATGAGAAAGAAGCCTCCTGCTCATTGATATTGATCAACTGGAAATGGTCCAGCTACTGTATAAGATATTACACCATTGTTTTAGGTGCGTTAACCAAGTTTAATAGCACTCCAATTGTGCTAGGTATGTAACATAAGGGATGACACTGCCACATAGAGAAAAAGTCAGAAAATACAGCATGGGATCCAGGGGACCACCTACATGTAGGCCACTGATAATTTTGGCTCCCAAAAAGGTCTAAAATTGGCCAATAGTCAGAAAATCTCAACCCTGATGTACACATTTTTTTCACTTTAGAGAAAAATTCTCCTTTAGAGAAAAATCTTCAGACTAAACTTACTTGGTACACGGTCTGTTATGAACGTGTCTCATGATATTGTTTTACCACCACGCGTAGCAAGCTCAGGTGGAATAAAAAGTTTGATCCAAATTTTTTTTTTTTTTTTTGCACCCAAAAGTATCAGATCATTTTTTTTCTTATCAAATATTTTTTATTATTTTCCAATGGTGCACAATAAAATAATTTTTTTTTCTATAACCCTTACCTCCTGCCCTTCCATTGCTGACATGCCACTCATCAATGCTTTAATACGCCGCTGAAAACACATGCATCGTTAGTACTATCACGAGCAACACCAATATCAATACAGCATGAAAAAAAACATGCCTCACAAAGTTATGACATAATGAAAACCAAACCAGAAACACTATATATATCATGCAATTTTATCAAAACTTATTAAAACATTTTTTTTTTGGTAAAGTGTTTAAAATTTGGCCAAGAGATGTTATGAAAGAGGATAATAATTGAAATTAAAGAAATTATTTTGGTTAAAATCAGTTTTATTTTGCCAAATTTGTACAAATATTTTCAACTGATTTCAGCAAGTATAAAAGACTACATTACAAAGAGAAGACAAATTGAAAATATTTGCTTTTATCAAATTCCCTTAAATAATAATTCAACATTTTCAGTTTCATCACATTTACTATTGCGGCAATTTACAATCTTTTAACAGTTCCCATAATAATAAAAATAACATACAACTACAATGTCTAAAACACTGAACTTCAATTTGCACAATTTTAGGTAATTCAAACTGGTACTGGGGGATCAAAAACAAATCAAATTACAACCATCCAAAATTGGGGCAAACACTGTGAAATTCTCCATAAAATCCAACACAATGCACATATATATTACCTTGGTAGGTGTCACAGGTATATCTGCCTTTTGCCTTGTCTTTATAAACACCAATATATAACGGTTAATCAAATGACAAGGGGTAAATGGGGCGTTATGCAAATTCATATATTGACTTGTCACTTTTAGCTTGCCAAATGGCAGGTGGCTCAAATTTTATTGAAAAAAAGTTATGAAATGAGAGAGAGAGAGAGAGAGAGAGAGAGAGAAAGAGAGGGAGGGAGGGGGGGGGAGGAATGGGGTCAAACAAATAATACCTCTTCTTCAGCCTGAAGTTCCTCAGCTGACGGTTCTTCAGATCCTTTCCCTAATCCTGCAGCTGCAGCTTTCTTCTTGTTGGCTTTTTCTGAGTCATCTGCAATCTGTGTTTTACTCATTCCATATCGCCTACATTGACAATCAATCAACCAATCAATCAATTAATCAATAAATCAATCAATAAACCCAAATCATATAAATCATGACCAAAAGGTCAGGTCATTAAATACTTTATTTACAGGATTGTTTTTTTAATTACTGTCTAAAACATATTATCTTTTTTGAAAAATATAAATAAATGTATAAATATAGATACAAATAAAATCAAAAAACAAAACAAAACAAAAGAAAAATCAGAGGAGAGGCCTGAACCATTTCATTTACTTAAGTTTACATGGCAGTGGGTCCAGATTTTCTCACCTTCCATATTCTAGAAGTGTAGAATGGACTCGCATCTCTTCTTCTTTGATCTTGTCTGCGTCGTGTCTTCTGTAGCGGCGCTGTGGCTTATACACATCCTAAATAAACATTTGTATTTCTGTTATAATACTGTGCAAAACTTCTCAATTTCTCTGAAGTCCACAAACTCTACTGGGCCGTCTTTAAGACAGAAAATGCAAGCAAATGCAAATGCCTTTACATTTTAATTTATCAAATAATAATTGTTTTTGAAACTACATTTCTCATAAACAAATCAGGCTCACAGCAATAAAATGAACTCAGTTTTGAAACATTCAGTAATTACCAAGCATCAACTATTCTGAATATTTAGCAGTTGTTTTATCCTTTTTTTATTACACTGAAAATGTTGTAGAGCTGATACATACTTTCACTGCACTAACTGAAGAAACAGCCTTCTCCTTCAACTGTTCAAATAGTTCATCCTGCAAGTAAAAAGAAACATCTACTATGAAATGAGTGAAAAATATGATAAAAAATTTTTAAAACCTGCACTTTTGAGAAATTATTATCTTTCATTAATCAAAGAAAAAACTTACCTTCTGACAGAAACACCACTTACTTTTCAAGACTTTCGTCACATTATTTTCCCCATAGATATACAATAAAAATTATCTTGGGAAATGCAATTTAATTCTCTAATTAAATTTCAATCAAATTCTGTCAGTAAGGACCAAACCTCTGGTGTTTTGTGGTTCTTGTTAAACTGCGACACGGAAAAGGCTCGGATGTAATCCCCCATCTCTTCTCGCGTCTCAATAGCTCTCTTCACCAGCCACTGGAAATATAATACACAGTTGTATAATAGTTGAGTAATTATGACTCCATCTTTTCAATAGGGAAAATAATCAAAATTTCTGATAAATGATTTTGAAATTAATCATCTTTATAAAAGTTTTGTGGTACTTTTGCTGCATAGAATAATACTTAAGGATAGCCTGCTTTTGCTGTTCTAGTTTTAGAATGCATGGCTTGAAAATATAGTATTCTTCCGTAAAATTCATAATTTTCCTCACTGAAAAGATGGGGTCATTATTATATTTTGACAATTTCCACAAAAGTGGTGTACATAGTAACAGAAATCATATGTGGGTGATTTTACAAAAAAAAGTGACAATATATGGCATTTACTAATCTTCAGATTTAAAATAAAATTGTTCATTCTGATTTCAAATTGCTAATAGGTAGTTGAGATCAAAGCACAATTTTGTTTTCACAAACCCTTCACTTTGCAAACCACTCCACTATGTAAACACACCTACACACATCAATGCAATGCAATTTAGATGCTCTAAGAGTGCATTCCCAGAGATTAAGATCGATCTATCCGGATCGACCTAACTCCCTGGGGGTTCACGCTAAATTGCAGTCAGTCAGTTAATTACCCCTTTACAGCTTTTAGTAGGCAGGACAGACGCTTAAGCCAGCTAAGCTGACAGTAATCTAGTGAGACTCCCCACAGGGATAGAATGATCTAAAATATGTGGGAATGGGGTCAAAGTATGCATATGCACACACATACATCTATGCAGACATACCTGCACAACTGGATATATATGTATAAAATCCAGCCCCTGGATCTGATGGGGTTCTATTCTGTGAGGGCACTTCATTTTAGGCAACACGGCAACCAGCTTTTCTGTTAGGGCACTGTAACAATAATCAAACAGAAAAATTTTATGATTATGTATCTTACATATCTACTGTGACCAGAAAATTTTTCTTCAAGATGTTTAAATCATGTTTTTATATATATATATATATATATATATATATATATATATATATATATATATATATATATATATATATATATATATATATATATATATATATATATATCATTATGGCAAATCACATGTATGCATGCCAAAATCATCCATCAATATCAAAACTCAGAAATCACCAATTTTTATGTCTTTACTTTTGGCATTAGCAACAAGAAAATAATTTCATCCAATACATTTTCTTATTCATGTTGTACGTGTCTTTTTCAGGCCCTAAAAGTTATTTCATATTTTGCATCAACATTTACAAATACACCAACAATGTCTGAATATAAGTTCAAAGAACAACAACTCCAATTTAACAATATAGTTTTCTATTATATTAAACAATTTATACATTCTCACATTTTTTGGCCTATTGTAGAGTTCTCTTGGAAGAGCAGATCTACATCAATGTCAAAGTTACATGTAGTTATGCACCAAGTCATGCCACCAACAACCTGGGGAAGACAAAATATGTAAATGTCTCAAATTGAAAACATTTTAGCGTACTCTAAAATTAAAACATAATTTCACTTGACATTTTTTTGCCAAAAACATTGCCTTCAACAATGTAAGGAAGATTTTCAAACTTTTGAGATAAAAATGTGAAGAATTTTAACCAAATAACAGATTTCATAACATACTTTTGACATGATATATTTAACTTATTTTTAATAATACAACATTATCAAAAAAAAAAAAAAAAAAACAGTTGATGAAAGAAGCTTGCTGATCAATATATGTAATTCATCACATTATTCCTCAGAATTCCTGCTAATGACTCATCCACTGCCAACACACATTAAAAGACATTGAAAAATCCAGTCTGTTGTGGGATAAAGGTAAAGAGCAAAAAATAGCAATAAATTATTGACTGTCATCACCACTCCATCAACAAGATCTTGAGTTGTAAGGAAATGGCAGGATGAAGTGGTTGATGACCTTGGCACCCAGGGTCTGGGGGCTGCTGAACGTCAGGACACTGCTAAGAAAAGAATGGGTCTCTGATTTAAATTGGAAGAAAGTCACATATGGTACTTTTCAACTACGGATAGTCATACTTCCAACAAGGAGTAGCCATTAGAGTAGTCCAAAGAATATCAGCAAAATCATACAAGAACCTCTATTACTGATGCATGTAGATCTACTAGGGAAGGGGGGGCACGTTTTTCATTAGGGGGTACAAGGCTTTTTTTAGGGGGGTTAACTTCAGAAATATAAAATAATGCACAAGGAAAACTTCATTGTAATATATATGTATGGCACAGGGTTGCAAAAATTGATTAGTTTGTTTCTTTTTACTTGTTATCCTGGGAAAAGAAACTGGTAACTCCAATGCAGTTCTCCTAGCCTCCCCTACCTTGAATCTACTTACTTTGTCAAAGGGAGAAAGTCCCTTAATTCTTGCCCTGAAATACCCTGCTGCCAGTAACAGTTCTATTGTCTCATTAAGCTTCTTGTTTTGCTCCTCATCTTCCCTGGTTTCAACCTAAAAAGAAATATGATAAGCCCGTTCTTGATGATACATGTAATAATAATAATAATAATAATAACATCCAGGTTTACTTACATGCTGCCCAAACGTTACTACCCATTTCTGTCATGTCACTGCAATAATACCCCCCTCCCCTCCTTTACTAGACTCCCCCTCTCAACTTTTCAACATAGCACATAAAATTATATGTCGTTTTCCTTTTATTCAACGGTGTGATTGATGTCAAACCATTTAAAACGGCTGGCAGAGAAATTTATCAAACACGCTGAAACAAGAATTGAATATAAATCACTGGGACGTGATCTTTAAGCAGTCACTACAGGATATGAATGGAACTAAATTTGAAAAACTGAAAAAACACTAAAACGGGTCCAAGCACAATACAGAAGTTTGCAATCTCGAAAGCTACTTTACCAGTTTTGGTATAGTACACTTGAGACCTCATTTCTTTATTTACCTCGATCTCGTTCCCCTCGGCATCATAAACGACGTTTAACTTGGACCCAGCTCTCCCGCGACCAGTGAAAACACTCCCACCTGTGGAAGCCATGTTGGTTAACTCACGTGAGCGGAAGTAGAATCAAAAATGTCAACATCGGAATGAGGCTTCTTTGCGGAAAAACAATAATTTTGTTTTAACTTTTTGTTAAACAAAAATCTAATGAAAAATTAAATATTGAATTTCTAAAACTGTTGAATATTTAATTTTTATCAACATGCCTTATATGTTTTGAACAGCCTATGTAAACATGATACCTGACCCACATTCTTTCATGTTGACAAGCTCAAGGTGATCTGATCGTGTGACCTAATTTCTGATTGGTTAAAATTTCTGGTGTGAGATTGACATGATGCAGTGAATGGGAAGTAGCATATATAGGTGAGCGGCAAAACCCCAAAAAGTGCTTTATTTAAGGAGTTTAGTGTCCCCTTTATACACAGACCTGAATTATATATCATTTGAAAGCTCAGAGTCTGCTGGTCAAAGTTAGCCATGATGTGGAAATGGCAATTGCCTGCGTAACCATGGAAACGGACAATTTCCAAGATGGCCGCCTGTTTTTTTGTATTTTTTCTAAAAATACAAATCATTGATAAACATACCTAAAACATTGTCTATCATCTAACCTTTACATGTTTTGTGATGAGGGAGGTTATGGGCTAAAAAAAACACCATAGCAGGATTTCAAGATGGCCGCCGTTTTCAAGATGGCCGCCAATGTCTATGAAAAATTGGTCAAATTTTCTCATTTTATTCCAAATCTTTACATATAGAATCAAAACTGTGGTGTCCACAAAATAGTTATTGCATGAATTATACAAAGTAGGTATATTTTCATTTAGTTATGGCACTTGGTTAAATTTGGGGGATGGTAAAGCAGTCAATTTTCAAATATTCAACATGGCCACTATGAAATGCCTATTTCCATGAGGTAGGCTTTTGTGCACTTAAATAATCAAAAAAATTATTTTTATTACCAAGCTCATAACATATTTTTGCTAGATGCTAGATTTTACATGATGCTTCATACAATTTCTTCAAAATGGCCACCATTTTCAAGATGGCCACCGTTTTCAAAATGGCTACCATCATTTGTGAAAAGTGTTTGCTCATTTTATTCCAAATCTTTACATACAAAATCAAAACCATAATGTCCATATGACTATTATGGAATGAATTATACAAAGCAGTCATTAATCTATTACATTATGGTATTTGGTTTCACTTCAGCGATATTTTAGCAGTCATTTCTTAAATATTCTCAANCAAA